GGTGGTGGGAAAGCACAACCCCATCTGCCTTGACGGCGGGCGTGCTGAGGGGGCGAGGGGGGGCGTATACACGCTTTATGATCTGCCAGCTGTTTCCGTTAGAGGCTTCAAGGTTCGAGCAGAGCGTTCGCCACCGGCTAGTGGCCGCTGCGCGAAGAAGTTCCCTGCGTGGGATCCTGGGCCGCTGACTGGATTGGGCGTGGGGTTTGCCGGCAATTGCCTTATCCAAGTCGGCCAGCTCAGGGGCCCAGAACGGGGACTGGCGTCGATTGCCCTCCGGCACTGATGCCTTTGTGGCAAGCCGTATGCCAGAGGCGATGTGCTTCTCTGTGGTGTCTATGCGATTCATGCCTCGTTTTAGCCTGCAGTGTGAGTTGGTGAGGTTGCGGAACTTCGACCAGTTCACTTTCTTCCATGCAAGCAGAGTCTTGTAGACCCGCTGAGCTTCTATTGGGACGTCGCCCTCTCCCACCTGGGCAGCATAGGTGATGATGTAGGTGTTGCTGTCCGGGGTGGGTCGTCGTGCAGACCAATCAGACGCTATGCGTTCCTTTGGCAGTGCCACATCTGGCGCGGAGCATCTATGCCTATTGGTGTGCCGTGTTCGGTCGCCCGTGTTGGCAACAAGGAACTCATTGCCAACGCGCGACGGTACAACGGTATCACCTCTGGGGTCAGGTGGGGCTTCGTGGTCCCAGGCCAATGCGTGTGCATTGACCTCTGCACCTATGAGCTGTGGCCCGTCAGTGTTTGTGTTGGGTCTGCCGAGGTCCTCTGGAGTGATTTTGGTTGCAACAGGATCTACTTGTATCTCATCCCTGATGGGGATTGATACACCTCCACCACGACAGGTGAGAGCCATCCTATGATGCTGGTACCCGGGGAGTCCGAAACCAGCTGCCTAAGGCAGGGGCATGTTTCTCTCACTCAATAGGCAAAACGTTATATTGTCATCGTAGAGCTGTTTACCCGAGGCTGGGCGTTTAGCTTGTGTGAGCCCAGCTGGGTTGTATTGCATGCCCCTCAAGGTAGGGACGGGATTCTCTTCTACGTTTCTGCAAAGCAGCAACGTGGTGCGAATGATGCTGCTGATTGCGTGGCGACACACGAGCCCCAAGACCTACGAGGATGAACACTGTGTCCCGGCAAAACGCGGCTGATTCTGGCGCCTTGCAATGCCGTAATCCTGGTGCCGCAAAGCTCTCCAAGTGGCGAACTTTGCTGGCGCCTGGTTTCCCCTGGCAATGCGTGGTGCTGGACCCTGGCATGACGATGAGGTGGCCGGTATCAAACACGATAGTTATTTGGCACCCGCACCGCTGTTGTATGGCCGATACTGCTCACAGTGGATGTGTCCTTCGTCCGCCTCGTTGTGCTCGGGCGGGGCGGGCTCCATGGGCGACTCTTGTGCCAATGGCGAACTGTGCTGCTGGCGTATGTGCTCCCCCAGGATGTCGACCCGACCGGCAGCATATTGGCGCTGAGTGCTGTGACGGAGCTGGAGGAGCTGCCGGACGGCATGTGCTGCGGCGCATTCCGTTCGCTGTGTTCGAGTCGCGTGTACGTCGAGTCGCTGTGATGGGCTTCGCGTTGGTGGAGTCCGTGGCGTCGGGCCGCATGAGTGTGCTGGCCTACCCAGTGGGCCTGCGGAAGGACACGGGCTGTGCTTCATCCTGACGGAGGAGCGGCTCACGGCGCACGCGGTGCCACTGGAGAGGGGGGCTGCCAGCTGGGCGGCAAGACGGTCTGGGAACGTGACTGTGTGCATCCCCCTGTGACTCTTCTGTAGCTTGTCCCGCGGCTGTCGGCGAGACAGCAGTGATGACGGAGGGGTATACCTGGTCTGATATCGTTGTGCTGTGTGTCTTGTTGTTTTCCTGCTGTGCTTCTGCTAGAAAGACATTATTTGTGTACCGATGATATCCCACATGTTGGATGCGATGCCGCAATTGACAGCCGTACCCACGCGTGAAACCCGTTTTCGGGGGACGTGCGACGGGAGCACGCGATGGACCGGCGGTGTGCATACACTCTCGAGGGTGCGTGCAGCAATAGCCTGTCTAGTTTTGTTGTGCTGCAGTGTTGACGGCGTGATGTCGGAGGAAGGCGGGGCAGGGAAGATTGTGAGGATTCTGGAGCTTCGAGTCCCCTCTATGTCGATATCACCTGTCTTCGTTAACGCCCTTAATGCCGGATTCAATGCGTCGCTGTGGTCACGTAACTATACACTGGCGAATGGCTTCCGTGTGGAAAGGATTGTGAAGGATATGGAGATTCATGGGGGTGCTAATGCAATTAACGAAGCAATGGCGCAACACGAGGGCATTCTTCTTGTACAGGGACCAATCGGCGCTGAACCTTTACACTACTCACTCCCTGCCCTTAAAAAGCACAACCTGGTATCATTTGCACCGTTTTCTGGTTCAAGCGAATTCCGGACCTGGAATCCTCACCTCTACTTTGTCCGCACCGACCCCGCTGCTGAGCTGCTGGCCCTCCTCCGCTACGCCGTTGACAAACTTCGCATGTTGCGGTTGGGATTCATGTACCTGCAGAACATGATGTTTGGGGATAGTGAGTACGCGCACGCCACAGAGCTGCTAGATGCCATTGATTACAAGTTCTGTGGTGTTTTCACGGTGGAGAGCTCCGTGACGGGCTCTGCTGACGATGGGGTGTTCAATGCCACATGGGAGGAGTTCGCAGCCACACGCCCGCAGGCTGTGATTGTGTTCGGCTTGCCTTACAAAGACACTGTGAAGTTCATTAAGCGGATGCTGACGGATGAGCGTACAGCTGGCGCCTACCTACTTTGCCCCGGAGTGCTGCAGGAGAATTTGCTTGGGACGTGGCGCGAAGCTGT